CAAAATGTTTTTAGGGGAATTAACGTAAGTGTAATACCGGTAACAAAATGTTCTAGGGGAATTTACTATTTTATTTTTTAGGGGAGTTTACATTTGCCCACGTCACTATAGGTGGAACACGCGTGTTCGGTGTTTAGTGTTATTGTTAAATAAATCAAAAAGAATTAATTACAGGTTAATAACAAAATAAGTATTAATATCACAATTAAGCCATATATTTTAATATAAATTTAATACTCTGATATTTCAGAACTCCTTTGAATTGGTCTCAAATGGACAGTCAAAGCAATTATCGACACATATCAAAACAATTGGATCTCGTGGTGGTAGTCAATGAAAATCTAAAATCTAATTAGTTGTATTGCTTTAATAAATTATTACACATTAATACTTGGAATATTTGTAATTTGAATTTGAAAATGTTTTGGWTTGTCATGCCACTGRGTCTGAAAATTGAGAGAATTCTCAACTGGAAGATTGTGCAACGGGAAACCGACCTGTCTTATAGTGAATTCAGGTTGATCTTTGACAATATCTGACCTACGACTTATACAGATCGATCATCAAGTGTCGACGGTGTTTTGGGTTTTTATTTTGGCATTGTCATGTGCCCATGTCTATTCTTCTTAACTAAAAATATATGAACTATATTTAAATAAATGTATGGCAAACAGCATTCGTCTTGTGAATAAATTATCTTATAATATTTTATCGATAACAAAGAATGTTAAGCATTTAATTGTTAGACTCATGCTCGGAAGAAAAAATACAATTATTTTTTAAATAATAAATAAAAGTAATTGAAATGAAATAATATAACATATAAATAAATAGAGTGGCTTGGTGAGGCGCGGTCGTACGCTCAATTTGCGGAAACGCACTGAGCGTACGTACCGGCCGCAGTTGCTAGCTCCCGGACGGGTGACCACCCGGGATTTTTAGCAACATATCCTTGCCACACATACACAAACAAGTGTTACAACCCTATACCCACTTAAAAATATACAAAATAGCCCCTACCGTACCACCCCACACCCAATGRCCTATATTGCCGCGGGTTAAAAAAATAAATAAATAAATAAATAAATAGAACATATTATTTGTTTTTACCTACATTAAAAGCATATAATGTGTAAACAATTATACTTA